GAAGGTGTCCTTGCCTCATAAAATCCCTTAGCAGGTCGTCTGATTTTCAGATGGCCTCAGCATTCGTCACTGTCAGCTACAGCTTAATACATATAAGGCACCTTAAACATCTGCAGGATAAACCTTATTGTTTCAGGTATCCACTCATTTTTATTTGTCCTGTTTATACTTTTACTTAGCAGAATAAGCTCTCAGCATCATAAAAAGAAAAACAAATAAAATTAAGTAACATTTTAAAGACTTCTAAGATGAAAACCAGCAAGGCATACTGGAAACCATTTTTTAAATTAAACACAGTGCTAGGTCACTCACACTCAGAGTGAACAAAATAACTGACACTCCCCAAACGTGCAGACTTAAAATCATATCAGAACAGTATTTCCCATATTTGAAGAAGATAAGAACAAAACAAACATTTAAAGCTGTCACCTGGATTTCTTACCATTTTTGTGAAGCGTTTTCACTGTCGCAGCAATAAATTACCGCCCTAGTTTCTTGGAAACTTCGACATTATGCCAAGGACTGCTGAGAGAACTTGCAATAAAAGGAGGACATGTTCCAGAAAGTTATTAGATGTCCAAGGGTGTGCCACTCAGCCTGTTGTTTGGAGAGCATCACATCCTTAAAGAGTGGAAATTTGGATCCTGATCGTGTAACTGAATACAATGCCCTTCCACTGCAGGGTAGAAAGCAGCCTAGAGTTAGGAAGAAACTTGCTTTGAAACATCAGATCCCAACCACTGACAAGATGCCAGGCTAGAAGAATTACTGGTCTGATAACACAAGGACAATATTCTATGTTCTGCACCCAGGAGTTGGTTTCTTTTTAAAAACTATTAGCAGCAGATTACCATGCAGCTTGGCCAGACCAGTCTGGTCTAAATTTTGCCTTGTTTTGCCTTGAAACATCTTGCTGTTTCTCACCCTTCAATAAATTCTGAAGAGTCCCACTCCTTTTACAATTCATATGAATAGCAGAGATTAGGGAAGTGCAGCGTGGCCTGGAGAAGCACACATGGCTTAGTCACAGAGGTATTTTGGTACTTAGTTCCCATTGGGGTCAGCAGAGGTTTGCAAGGCTACATCTATATGCTCTTTGCTAGCCACGCTCACACACCTTCTTGAGCTCAACGTGCCACACGGCACAGCCAGGTGTGTCCAAGGTGGCCCGCAGGGCTCACACACTCCTTGGTGAGATTACGCTCGCTGAGCAAGGCGCACCTCCCAGCTCTCCAAAGTTTCCTCTCCTGGGAAATGGCTTGTTCCAATACTGAGCAAGACTGCAAGCGTGAGGATGGTCCAAACTGCCAGGACATTCTGGCTCAAAGATGAATTCAAGCCCCAAGCCAAAAGGTAAGTCTGGATGTACTTAAAAACCTGGGAGGAAGGTAGCCTGTTTACTTTTCTGCTACCACGACTTCTTATCTCCACGCTGTAACCTTCACCATGATTTATAAAGACTAGTGGAACTTTGTTTAAAGGAAACAACACCAAGCCAAACCAAGCAACCACTGTCCCTCCCCATCACGGCAATATTTTGCCTCCAGAGAACTTCCTTGCTTGTCTTCCCCTACACACTTAAATCCTCCAACAAATAATACTTCTGACACCAAACCAATGTCACTGGTGGCATCCCACATGCCTGGGTTCTCCTCATGAGAGA